TCTCCTTACAACATGTCCAAAGTATGTCAGATGAAGCCCCAGAATCCTTGCCTCCAAGGAGCAGCCTGGTTTAATCCTCTCTACGATGAATCTGTTTGTTTTCTTGGCAGTCCATGGTACATTCAATACTCTTCTCCAGCACCACAGCTCAAAGGCGTCAATTCTCCTTCTATCCTCCCTAGTCATTGTCCAACTCTCTGATGCATAATAAGTGATTGCAAAAACCATGGCCTATATCAGGCGCACCTTAGTCTCCAGAGAGACACCGTTGCTCTTGAGTACTTTAGAGAGGTCCCTAACCGCAGACTTTCCCATCGCAATAAATTTTTTTATTTCCTGGCTACTGGTGCCAAGAGTATTGACCGTGGAACCGAGCAAACTGAAGCTGTGAACAATCTCAATCTCTTCGCCAACAATCCTGATGCTACCGATTGGTCCGGTGGGGAGAATTTTTGTCTTCTTGACATTGAGCCTCAGTCCATCCTGAAGGCTGCAGTCCTTGACCCTTTGCAGTAAGTGCATGAGGTCCTCCTCATTTTCAGCGAGCAAAGCTGTGTCATCTGCATAACGCAGAATGTTGATAGATCGTCCACCAATCCTAATGCCACACTTCTCCTCATAGAGCCCAGCCTCTCGGATAATCTGCTCTGCATACAGGTTGAAAAGGTATGGAGATAGGACACATCCTTGGTGTACACCCTTCCCAATTTTGAACCATGCAGTGTTGCCCTGCTCTGTTCTGACGACTGCCTCTTGGTCCAAGTATAGGTTTCACATTAGCACGATTAAATGTTCTGGGATTCCCATTCTTCTCAGAGTCAACCACAGTTTGTTATGATCCATGCAGTCAAATGCCTTTGCATAATCAATGAAACACAGATAGACATTCTTCTGGTATTCCTTGTTTTCAGCTAAGATCCATCTAACATCAGCTACAATATCCCTAGTACCACGACCCCTTCTAAACCCAGCCTGGACTTCTGGCAGTTCTCTGCCGATGTACTGTTCCAGTCATTGTACATAATACCAATGATAAATATTCAACTGAATCTTTCACTCTCATTTTACACCTGTAAAAGGTCATTTAGAATCAATAATGAAAAGTAACTTCATCTAACATACACTGGTCATGTTGTCAGAAGGGGCTTACTACATCCAGAAATGCAGTAAAAAAATCAGTAACATGTCTTTAAATTTTTTTTAAAAAGGGGTAGTATGTGCTTTTAGTTTAGAAAGACAATTGTGAAAAAAACTCCCTTGTCAAGTTTAAATCCTGCTGACTCTGACCTAGAGCTGAGCATCACTCCCTCTATTAACATGGCACTAGGACCTTCAGACCCTTTATCAAGCATGACCTTTACAATAACTAAGAAAGAATATTTTAACTACTTTAATGGAATTATTGGTAGGTTTGCTTTCAATCACAGATTTTCTCATTTTCCTGTCCCCTTTCGCTCTTTACATAACATGCTGAAAAAAATTTTTCCCCTAAAAAAATTTAATCCGAAGTCAACATTCAGCTAATGCAGACATCACAAGGCCTAAGAACACACCCTAAATGAGTAGTAGCCTAGGTTCCTCCATGTGTTCCCTTTAACAACTTAATTCTGCAAAGAGCTTTCAGGAACTCTGCAAGTGACTCTTGTATGACCTTCTAGAGAGCAGCCACCTTGAAAGGACACATTTCTGTGACGACCAAGCACCTTAAACTGGAGAAGGTAATTTTTAAGGCCACACGCACATGTTTCTGAAATCTGCTGAATGACACATATGCTTTGACATCTTAATCACGTGCACATGGTTCCCACAAGACTAAAAACATACTTCTGGCGGCAGCCATATTGACAGAGCAAGTGAGTATGGACTTCCTTATCCTGATCACTTCCCCATGGGCCAATCACAGATGATCCCCTCCTCCAATCATGAATAAACATGATGTGTTCCTTCTGACAGGCCGACACAGAAAAACCCAGTCTCCCATGAATAAACATGATAGCCTTTCTCCATCTCCAGAGCCTTTAAAAGAATCACTTCCTCCTTTATTCCACCAGTCATGGGCTAGCATTACCTTACCTCTCCTCAGGACCCCCTCTAAAGTATTTTCCCTAATAAATCTCTGTGTTTGCTTGCATAGAAAAGGCTGGGCTCTTCTTTACTATTCTTACTAAACAGGAAGAACCCAAATTCAATGAGCTCAACAGAGAAATTTGTTTAGTGATCACATTTAGGAAGTAGTCAGGTTGCATAACGTTGAGAAAAGTAGAAGATGAAGGGAGAGAGGAAGCCCCTCAGTGAGATGGACTGACATACTGACTACAATGGGGGTGAGCGTGCGGAGGTTGTGAGGAGGGTGCAGCACAGGGCAAGGTCCAGATCTGCTGCTCAGAGGGTCTCTATAGTCGTCAACTTGACAGCACCTGACAGCAGTCCAGCTGAAGGCATAGAAAGGAGGTTAGTTTTTAGACCTGTCAGAATAATAAAACCTATTTCCATGGATAAATGGACAATCCTAGAAATATTCAATGTGGGCTAATTTTCACAGCAAACCAGCAAAGGTTGAAGAATTCAATGAAATTCTCTGAGTTTAGAGGACCACCTCTTTTTTCTTTTTTTTGGGGGGGGGGAGATTTTCATTCATTCATTGTTGTACTTTTTGGGACCACCTCTTTTTATACATACACAGCTGGAGTGAGTGTGTGTTAGCAGAATCAGTGAAAATGAATCCCGGAACCAAGGTCTGGTCTTCCCCTGGTGCTTCTGATTCATCACCCTCAATTGTGTGCATGGGAAAACTTTAGTTGAGTCCATGACTGAGCCTGGGCAATGTGAACCAACAGCTAGGTGAATCAGATTCCAAGTCTATTTCAGTTTTATCTTTGTCTAGTTTAATTTTTGAGACCATACAGAACAGAATCTGTCCAATTCAATAGTATCTATATGTAAAATTCAATGACCTCAATTATATTCTTCAAATCATGCAACCACTCTCCCCTTTCGTTTTCTGAGCTTCCCCTCTCTGATTAACATTAATTTATGCCTGTAAGGTTTCTATCTTATCTTTCTGAGTATGTGGCATTATGATGTGAGGAAGATTTATCAACAACCTGCATTATGTAGATGACACAATCTTGCTTGCTGGAAGTGAAAAGGACTTGAAACATTTGTTGCAGAAGATCAAAGACTCTAGCCTTCAATATGCATTGCATCTCAACATCAAGAAGATAAAAATTCTCACTACTGGGCTGACATACAACATCATAATAGATGGATAAATGATTGATGCTGTCAACAATTTCATCTTGCTTGGATCCACAATCAATACCCTTGGTACCAGCAGTCAAGAAATCAAAAGACATGTTGCATTAGGAAAGCCTCTTCTTATGGACCTCTCCAAAGTACTAAGAAGAAAAGATATCAATTTGAAGACTAATGTTTGCCTGATTCAGACCATGATCTTTTCAAATGCTTGCTATGTTTCTAAGAGGTGGACAGTGAATAGGAATGACAGAAGAATCAACGTCTTTGAGTTGTGGTGCTGCTGAATAGTCTATGAACTGCCGAAAGAGTAAATAGCTCGGCATTTTCCTGCTTTTAACTACGATTCTTCTATAGCATCTTTGAATACAATGCTCAATTAACAGTCGTGAGGCAATGTCCAGTTCATGTGGTCTTATGGCAAAGTAATAATTACTTCTTCCTACTTAAGCTTCCCTTTCTTCGTTTGTTGCTCCAGGTAAAGAGACCAACTGTTGTGCTATGGACAGCCACAAGTAAGCTTCTGACATCCCAGGCACAAAGCTTAGTTTTACCTTAAATCAGCAATGTTATTGTTGTTGTTGTTATGTGCCGTCGAGTCGTTTCCGACTCATAGCGACCCTATGCACAACAGCCCTAAACTCTACTCTATCCTGCGCCAACTGCACCGCCTCTGACACACCCATCCCGATTACCCCAGTCACTGAATCAATCCATCTCATAGAGGGTCTTCCCCTCCTGCGCTGTCCCCCCACCCTCCCAAGCATGATGTCCCTCTCCAAGGACCCGTCCCTCCTGGTAACATGTCCAAAGTATGTCAGACGAAGCCCCAGAATCCTTGCCTCCAAGGAGTAGCTTGGTTTAATCCTCTCCAAGATGAATCTGTTTGTTTTCCTGGCAGTCCATGGTACATTCAGTACCCTTCTCCAGCACCACAGCTCAAAAGCATCCACTCTCCTTCTGTCCTCCCTAGTCATTGTCCAACTCTCTGATGCATAACAAGCGATTGCAAATACCATGGCCTGTATCAGGCGCACCTTAGTCTCCAGAGAGACACTGTTGCTCCTGAGTACCTTCGAGAGGTCCCTAACAGCAGACTTTCCCATCGTGATACGCTTTTTGATTTCCTGACTGCTGGTGCCAAGAGTATTGACTGTGGAGCCGAGCAAAATGAAGCTGTGAACACTCTCAATCTCTTCATCATCCATCCTGATGCTGCCAATTGGCGCTCCAGTGGCGAGAATCTTTGTCTTCTTGACATTGAGCCTTAGTCCATACTGAAGGCTGCAGTCCTTGACCCTTCGCAGCAAGTGCATGAGGTCCTCCTCAGTTTCAGCAAACAGGGTTATGTCATCTGCATAACGGAGATTGTTAATAGACCTTCCACCAATCCTGATGCCACAATTCTCCTCATAGAGGCCAGCCTCTCGGATAATCTGCTCTGCAAACATGTTGAAAAGGTATGGAGACAGGATGCATCCCTGGCGTACACCCTTCCCAATTTTGAACCATGCAGTGTTACCCTGCTCTGTTCTGACTACTGCCTCTTGGTCTAAGTATAGGTTTCGTATTAGCACAATTAAATGTTCTGGGATTCCCATTCTTCTCAGAGTCAGCCACAGTTTGTTATGATCCACACAGTCAAATGCCTTTGCATAATCAATGAAACACAGACAGACATTCTTCTGTTATTCTCTGCTTTCAGCCATACAGTTTGCAATATGGCAAGCTGAAGACTTGGATACCTGGGCATATTGGACAGCAACTTCCTTTCACGTTGATGGGCTCAACACAGGGCAGAGGAGGGCAGCTGACTGTGGAGCAGAGGGTCTGGCCCTGCAGGCAGTAGCAGTGTGTGCAGCTGTCAATGTCCCACCGCTCCTCGTCGGCATAGGCCTTCCCGCTGAAGTGGCACACCACCTTCTTTGGGACTGTGTCTTCTGGTGGAAAGAAAAGCACATGTCAGACAGCTGCCTAAAGTGGCAAATATTATCAGTTATACTTAGGAAGTAAATGGAGACAGAGCTACCTAAATACAGTGCATATCTGCACTCTCACAATTTAGCAAATCTGTTTCCTTCTTGCTAATACACCAGATTCAGGCTCAGAGAGCACAACAAGGGGTGGTAACAGTAACCACCCGATGATACCCACTGGACTGAAGACCTTTCAGGCTGTCACTGTGAAACATACTAATTTAGTAATTTACAGCTGGTTAACATAGTATGCAAAACCACTAAAATAAAAATGCAAAGTAGAAATGTGTTCGGAGAGTATGTTCTACATGGAAAGAGACAGAAAGTAATGCTGAGCCTATTTACAAAGATGGATTCAAACTTCTGAATAGAAACTCCTACTTTCAGTTACTCTTTCTGTAAATGATATAAAGGAAGAGTAAAGGACAATAACAACAAGGCCAAATGAAGTAGCAGGTTTCCTCTGCTTTCCTATATTGGAGGGAAGCATTACATTAACCATTTCTTTCATTACTTATCAATGCTAAGTGGATTTCCCCCGCATCGATAAAGCCATTTCTACTTTATTTTTCCAAACTAAATTTTTAAGAACTAAATATTTCTAAGGAGTTATTTTTATTTATACATATTTACAAAAAAAAACAAGAACATTCTCCTTTTCCCCCCTTCACTGTGCTCATCCTCCTGCCACCTGTTAGCATCTTCCTCCTCTAATGCTCCTTTTTCTTGGACTTAACCTTTCCCTACAGAACAAGAAATGGTGCTCAGAGAAAAGAGTAAGTGACCGGTAGTTCTAGTAGCAAAGCAGAGATGGGGCAATCTGGAGTGGTGTGAGGACTTCCTCACTAATGACAGGCCAGTAGCAAGATAATTCCTAGTAATCTAAAGAAATTATGTGCTCAGATTCGAAAGGCTGCTCCCCTTGCCCCTGGTCATTAGGGAATGAAAAACTATCAACCGAATGTGGAAGGAAAATTTCCTTAGCAAAGCTGTGGCACCCAGTGGAGCTTCCCTGCTCTTTCTGAATGGCATCTGGAAGCTCTTGCAGGGACACTGGTCACTACACACACTAAAGAACAATCCAGAATGTCCAGGAGGACAATGAGAGCTATGTGAGGAGTCTTTTACATCCAGTACTCCAAATTTTGAAGCTAAGAGCTCCACAGGGGCTAGAAGCCATCCTCAGTGAAGAACGGAATAAAGCTTCTGGCTGATCGTCTCTAGGGGAGGCTCACAAGCTTGTCTTTGGCTCCCATCGTCTCTTTTCCTCAACTACAAGCATATGTGCTCTATCAAGTACACTATTTTGTATCCCTGAGTTCACTGCAGAGTTAGTAAGCAAGTCCAGGGAGGAATCTATTTCAAATGTTAAAATACATAACTCAAACTCACTGTCGTTTAGTCAGAACCAATTAATACTTGACTCTCCAGTGGGTTTTCAGAGGCTGTAAATCACATGAGAGGAGACTGTCCATTTTTCTCCTGTGAAGTGACTGTTGTATTTGAACTGACCACTTCTGGGTTAGGAGCACAACTTCCTACTGAATAGGCCACTATAAACTTACTGTCTTTCAACATGTATTCCATCATTTTCCTGACGTAATGCTACCTAAGTTCAACAAGGGACCACTGAGTAATCAAACATGGGAAGTTATAACTGTTAATGGAAATCTTTTTTTCTAGTAAAATATAATCTTCTGGTAAATATATTTTTTCTAACTAAAATAACTACTGTATTTATAAATTTGCATGAAGAAAATTTTCTGATACGCTGCTGGCCTCAAAACTCATCTTTAAAAAGTCCTCCAAAAGCAATCTCATCTAGAGCTTTCAAACCAAACCTATGATGCTGTTCTTGTTGTTATATGCCGTCAATTCATCTGTGACTCATAGTGACCCTATGTACAACAACCCTAAAACCTGTTCTATCCTGTGACAATCTCACGGTCTCCGACACACCTACCCTGATTACTCCAGTCTTTGAATCAATCCATGTCATAGAGGGTTTTCCTCTCCTGCACTATCCATCCACCCTCCCATGTATGAAGTCCTCTTCCAAGGGCAGGCCCCTCCTTGCAACTTATCCAAAGTATGTCAGCTAAAGCTTCAGAATTCTTGCCTCCAAGGAGTAGCCTGGATTAAGCCACTCTAGGACAAACCTGTTCGTTTTCTTAGCAGTCCATGGTATATTCAATACTCTTCTCCAACACCATAGCTCAAAGGCATCAATTCTCCTTCTATCCTCCCTAGTCATTGTCCAGCTCTCTGATGCATAACAAGTGACTGCAAAGAGCATGGCCTGTATCAAGTGCACCTTAGTTTCCAGAGAGGGATACCACTGTTCTTCAGTACTTTGGAGAGGTTCCTAACAGCAGACTTACCCATCACAATGCGTCTTTTAATTTCCTGGCTGCTCGTGCCAAGAATGTTGACTGTGGAGCCAAGCAAACTAAAGCTGTGAACAATCTCAATCTCTTCACCATCCATCCTGATGTTCCCAATTGGCCCAGTGGTGAGAATCTTTGTCTTCTTGATATTGAGCCTCAATTCATATTGAAGGCTGCAGCAAGCATTTCAGGTCCTCCTCAGTTTCAGCAAGCACGGCTGTGTCATCTGCATAATGCAGACTACTGATGAATCATCCTCCAATCCTGATAACATACTTTTCTCCTTATACAGCCCAATCTTCTGGATAATCTGTTCTGCATACAGGTTGAAAAGGTATGGCAATAGGACACATCCCTGGTGTACAGCCTTGCCAATTTTGAACCAGGTAATGTTTCCTTGCTCTGTTCTGTCGACTGCCTCCTAGACCAAGTATAGGGTTCGCATTAGCATGATCAAGTTTTCTGGGATTCCCAATCTTCTCAGAGTCAGTCAGTTTGTTATGAGCCACACAGTCAAATATAATCAATGAAACACAGACAATTCTCTGGTACTCCCTGTTTTCAGCCAAGATCCATCTGACATTAGCTATAATAACTCTAGTACCATGACTCCTTCTCAACCCAGTGTGCACTTCTGGCAGTTCTGTTGATGTGCTGTTCCAGTCATTTTTGGATAATCTTCAGCAGAATCTTGCTTGCATGTTATATCAATGATATTGTTCGATAATTTCCACACTCTGTTGGATCACCTTTCTTTGGAATGGGAACAAATATAGATCTCTTCCAGTCAGTTGGCCAAGTGGTTATCCTCCAGATTTCTTAACAAAACTTGTCAAGAAGTAGCATCTGTTAGTTGAAATATGTCAAATGGTATACCATCAATTCCTGGGGCCTTATTTTTCGCCAATTCCTTCAAAGCAGCTTGAACTTCCTCCTTCATCACCATAGGCTCTTGCTTATATGTTGTTTCATGAAATTCTTCTGTGTCTGCCAATTCCTTTTGGTAGAGTGCTTCTGTATACTCTTTGCATCTTCTTTTTGTACTTCCTTTTATACTTTTTATACTTAATATTCTGCCCAAAGCATCCTTAACTGTAGTAACTTGAGGTTTGAATTTGTTCTTCAGTTCCTTGAGCTTAAGAAATGCTGAGTGAGTTCAGCCCCTTTGATTTTCTGACTTCAGTTCCTTCCACATTGCATTGTAATATTTTATTTTGTCTTCCTGCACTGCCTTTTGAAATCATCTGTTCAGCTTCTTAATATCTTGAATTCTTCCCTCTGCTTTGGATTCTCGGCACTCTAGTGCAATATTCAGAGTCTCTTCAGACATGCATTTTGGTCTTTTCTTTCTCTTCTGTCTTTGTAATGACCTTTTGCACTCTTCCTGGATGACATACTAGGTATTGCCAAGATGAGATAGACTGGCATAGGACATTTCTAGTCAGATGATCATATGACCTATTACTCCAGAGATAAAAAGTTGAAGAAAAAGGGGGTTGCTTTCATAATTTAAAAAGTAATTTCTAGTTATGTCTTTAAATACAGTATTATGAGTGACAGGATAATATCCATACGCATATAAGGAAGTCCAGTGAATACTACTATAATTCAGATATATACACCAACAACCAGAGCCAAAGAAAAGGTAATAGAAGATTTCCACCAACTACTACAGTCAGAGATTGACTGAACATACAATCAAGATGCATTAATAATAATGGGTCACTGGAATGTAAAAGTTGGGAACGGAGAAGAAGGATCAGTAGTTGGAAAACAAGAACTCAGTGACAGAAATGAGGCTGGAGATAGAATGACTGAATTTTGCACAATAAATGCCTTATTCATTGCAAATCCATTTTCTAAGAAACATAAATGCAGGTAAATACACAGATTTCACCTGATGATTGTTATACATAGTAATCAGATTGGTTACATCTGTGGAAGGAACCGCTGGAGAAGCTCAGTATCAGCTGTGAAAACTAGGCCGGGGGCTGATTGTGGAACAGACCACCAATTACTCATATGCAAGTTCAAGCTGAAGCGAAGGAAAATTAAATCAAATCCACAGGTACTAAAATATGACCTTGAGTGTATCCCACCTGAATTTTAGAACCATCTCAGGAACAGGTTTGAGGCCTTGAACACCAATGAGTGAAGACCAGATGGGTTGTGAGAGGATATCAAGAGTATCATCCAGGAAGAGTACACAAGGTCATTACAAAGCCATGATAGATGGCATTTAATAATACTGACTCCTTATAATACTTCTTTAAGAAATACAGAATATGCACATCAAATGGATAAACAGAACCATCCAATGAGCCCAATTAGTGTTTTGATCTTTGGTCAGCAGTTCATGCAATACATGAGATTCTGCCACTAAATTCAGAGTCTATTATGCCAGAGAATCCTTTGTGAATGGAAATCTTTCTTCATATAGCAGAATTACTAATTATATTTCATATAAACCTTTCAAAAGTTTATGTAAAGGACCAGTAACACAGTATGAAATTCACTTAAGTTCAAAGGAGTTGGAGGGAAAAAAAAATTAAAGTTTTCTTCCCACATCATTGCCAT